AGCACCACATAAGCAAAATGAAAAAAGCCGGAAGTGGCGCTGTGGCTCAAGTGGTAGAGCACTAGCCTTGAGCTGAAGGGCTGAGGGACAGTGCTCAGGCCCAGAGTTCAGTCCCCACAACCGGACCAAAAAAAAAAATGGGTCTCACGAACTTTCCTGCCCAGGCTGGCTTTGAACCACGATCCTCAGGTCTCAGCCTCCTGAGTAGCTAGGATTACAGCCATGAGCCACCAGCACCCAGCATTGTGAAAGAGTTTTGTACAATGGATTTTGGGCAAATAACTCAGGCAATACTCATAGGCCACAAGGAGCTGACACTATCCTGGAATTGCTGGAGGCAGAAAGACCTCTCTTCCTTTGGGTACTCAGATCTATTCCTCCTCACTGTCCTCCCAAGTTTCTATACCCAGGATACAGAAAGTCACAAAAGGGCAGCCTGTGCTGCCTCATGGAGGTTCTGGGTCCAGGAAAGACCCAGCTGAGAAAGGGAACATTCTGTCAGGATTGAGTAACCAGGCTATAGCAACCTTTGTGAACAATTACTGGAACTCAGTGAACAATTAGAAGAAATGTGAGGAATGGGAAAGACAGTAGAAGGCTAGCCAGGATTGCTCATGGCTCTATTTCTATGTCTGGCCTCTCCTTTCAGTTAGTTTCATATACATTTGTGTGTGTGTGTGTGTGTGTGTGTGTGTGTGCACTATATATAACATACATGCCACATAGATATGTATTTTTCTATACATATATATATGAAAAAATAAATTTATTTGCTGTTTTAGCCAAAAGTAGGGAATGAGATCATCTCAAGCCATTTCTACCTTACTCATTACAGTGTCACGGGTAGGAAGGAAGAAACAAAAGCCAGAAGTTAGTCTTTCTTCGTATATCAAGGCTCCTGCAGGTAGCCCTTCTTCACACAACAGTTGATTTCCTGGGGCAGTCTTATGTGGAGCCCCTGTTACATGGTAACAACCAATTGTTGTCCTGTTCTACAGATTACACAGAAATAAAATCATGTAATATGCTCCCTCTGTCTCTGGCTTCTTTCTCTTATCATATTGTTTTGGGGCACTCATGAACACTGCAACCCAAATCACTACTTTATTTTGTTATTTGCTCATTTAGATCTCATTGTATGTGTAACTCACCATCAATTTATCCAATCATGAATTGATGTTCACTTGAGTTGTCTCCACCTTCTGGTGAGTGTGAATATTAACCTTGTGCACAAAACAATTAAGTACCAACCTTGAGTTCATTTGGGTGCATAACTAAAGTGGCATTGCTTCGTAAAATGTTTCTGCTGTAAAGGTCTTATTTTCCTTTAATAACAAGAAGAGTTAATGTTCTTTTTGTTTTAACGTGCAAGCTAGTCCCAGAGCTCAAACTCAGGATCTGTGCACTGTCCCTAAGATTTTTTGCTCAAGACTAGCACTCTTTATCACTTGCACTACAGCTCCATTTGTACCTTTTTGCTGGATAATTGGAGAAGAGTTTCAGACTTTCCTGCCCCAGCTAGCTTTGAACCAAAATCCTTAGATCTCAGTAGCTAGGCATAAGCCACCAGCATCTAGTTATAAGGGGAATTTTTAAAATTTCATGGAACAAAAAGTCTTCACTTACAAGGTGTTCAAAATTGATGTGTATAGATACTAAGAGTTTTAGAGTGTCCTTGAACAGCCCATCTAACTTCTTTCATTACTCTGCTGTCTTTAGGATAGTGATTGTTCTTCTCATAGTGGTGAGATGCATTTACAAGCAAGGCCTTTAGAAGTTAGAGTTGGTCAATCTGTGTGTGTGTGTGTGTACATCTATAAAACATGCACATGCATATTTAATCCTATTGGTTTGGAAAGTGAAGCAGGAAAATCAAGCGTTCCAGGATAGTCTGGGCTACATGGTGAGTTCCAGGCCAACCTGGGCTACATAGCAAGATCTCATTTTGAAAACTAACAAACAACAAATGCTGAGGTTGCACTACGAGGTCAGCCACATAGCAAAAATTCTTTACTTTTAGTCTGAGTGAGAACAGAGTGTGTTGAATGCCCCCTCCCCTGTGTTTCCAGAAAGGCTGTTCCACAGTGCTATGCTTTCATGAGAAGGAGGAGGAGGAGGAGCAGAATGAGGAGGAAGAGGAGGAGAAATGTGATGAACCCTACAAAAAGAACATAAAATGTGAAATTAGAAACAAAATTAGAATTAAGAGAATGGGTCCAAACTTGAAAGGCAAGACTCCCTGTAGAGAAAACACTCCAGGCTAGTCATTAAAAGGAAAAATTGCAAAGATAAAGGCTTGAAGTAAATTAGTGAGTTAAATACTGGAATTTGGTAAATAACAGTGAAAGAGCCAGAAAACCTGGAAGGTGGTTTGATTTGGGTGTGATAAGTAATAAATTTGGGATTGTTTTGCTTATTGAGACTGTAATTGCTATTTCACTAACTTGCTTCTTTGCTGGAAAGATTTAGGATAAGAAGTGTGCCTTGATTTGACTTGTTGCTTTGGTTATTGGAATGACTGAAATTGTAATCTGCTTCTGTAACTTGCGTCTTTGCCCATCATGAAACTACCACTGACCACCAGCAAGCAGCGTTCCCCTCCCCCATGGATCTTGCCTTTAAATACCCTGAGCTATTTGACTTTACTGCTGTTCTTAATTTTCCCAATAGAGTGGGGAGCATTCCAAGCCTGATTGAGTGAGTGTTGGTGCCTCCTTTGGCCTATAGTGGGTTTAAGTGCCACTGGCCCCCAGAAGTTGGAATACTTCAGGAGGAAGAGAAGGAAGAGGAAGAGAAAAACTAGTCCTCTGGGAAACAAATAGAGCAAGGGCAAGTTCCCAAGAGCATCAGATTGAAAGGATACAAGATCCCCGGAGTCAGGGTCTACTTCAAAGCAGAAGTGTTATGAACTTTGCTGAAAACAGCTTCTGTTAAGCAAATTGAGTGGCATCCTCTACCACATAGACTAGAGCACACAATAAATTAGAAATCTGGAAAAACACATTTGTTGTTGCTATTGTTGTCGATTGTGGGGCTTGAACTCAGTGCTGACTCTTTTGCTCAAGGCTAGCGCTCTACCACTTTGAGCCACACCCCCACTTCCAGTTTTCTAGTGGATAACTGGAGACAAGAATCTCAAGGACATTCCTGCCCTGGTTAGCTTTGAACTGGGATCCTCAGATCTCAGCATCCTGATTAGCATCCACTCTTGAGGCCAGTTGTTGAGCGAACAAAGCCTTTCCTTCCTGTGCTAAGTAAAAGGAACCTAGAAGGAACAGCCTGCACTAAGCTAGCCTTGTCTTTGAGTTTTTCATCTCATAGAAAAGAATCTCATGGAAGGTCAGAGTAGGCCTGCTGAACTGTGTGTATACTCCTATGGGTGATTTTCATGGTACAGGCCTTGGAATGCTTCCTTTCCAATATATCAATTATTCTCTTCTTTGCTTTTAATACTGTTCACTGGATCTAATCCATGTCATGTCGGGAGTTCAGTAGCCGAGCTATGAGTTCTGAAAGGGCTCAGTAAAGCTTTCAGATCACTGTGGGCTGAGACTCTGGAAAGATTAAATGGTCTTGGACTAACAGAGGCTCAGGCCTCCAAAAGTCTAGGCTCCCCAGGTAGACTAAGACTTTGTGCAAATTGCTGAAATGTTTACTACTTGCCTCCAATTCCTAAGATAAGGAAGCCATTTCTCACTTAAATACAAGGATAGGTCACACGTAGGTGCTTGCAACTTCAAAGATCTTGTGACCATGTTTCCTGCATGTACCGGTATCCCCCTCCCCTGCACTGTACTAATAAAAAGACTCAGAAGCTGGAGATGGGCTTTAGAGTCTCCAATTTTCTTATCCTCTCTGATACCTTGGTTCTTTGGTCCTATACTTCATTGCCCTGCTGGTTCCATGGTCACCTCAGGTTAAGATATCTGGCACCAAAAGGGGGGCACAGTAATGGTGGGTAAACCAAGGTGATTGGAAGAGTTAACGAAAGAACAGCAAACTGAAGGATTGAGTCCTGCCTTATTCCCCAGGGTCAAGCAAAGCACCAGGTGTGTGCTCAGGTGCTTGTCATCAGACAAGTCATACAGATCTTGGGCCTGGAGACAATAGCCCCCACACCCAGTGGGGGCCTGGCCAAGGACATCGCCCTTGATCCCAAGATTATCATAGCCCATTTTTTAGTCTCTGCTTCCTTCTTAAGCAGACAGCAAAATCCAGTGTCTTGCACAACCTCCAATCCCACAGAAGGTCTGTGCTCCTCAATGAACAGTCCTCACCTGTTGACAATTGAGTCCAGTCTATGCCTTTTTCATTTTCCATATACAAACTAAGAGCAAAAGGGCTGAGTGTCTTAAATCAATAAGAATATTAATAGCAGCATCCAGAACGAAAGTAAAGAAAAAAGATTCTGAGAGTTCAGTTATATGAAAAAGTATAGTTGCCGGCTGTCTCCACAGGAAATGCTGAAAACGCAGCAATGAAAGGAGATTGTAATGTGCTTTAAAAAAAGGCCCCAAACCGGGGCTGGGAAGGTGGCTCAGTGGTAGAGTGCTTGTCTTGTATGCATGAGGCTCTGGGTTTGATTCCTCAGCACTACATAAGCAGGAAAAGCCAGTAGTGGCACTATGGCTCAAGTGGTAGAGTGCTAGCCTTGAGCTGAAGAGCTGAGGGACAGTTCCCAGGCCCAGAGTTCAGGCCCCATAACTAACCAAAAAAAAAAAAAAAAAAAGCTCCAAACCTGGCTGGAAATGTGACTCAGTGGTAGAGTGCTTGCCTAGCATGCATGAAGCCTTGGGTTCCATTCCTCAGTACCAAATAGCAGAAGTGGCACTGTGGCTCAAGTGGTAGAGTGCTAGCCTTGAGTAAAAGAACCTCAGGGACAGTGCCCAGGCTCTGAGTTCAAGCCCCAGGACTGGCAAAACAAAAAAACCCAAAACAAAGGTGAAATCATCCTATCAAAAATTTAGTCCTTATTTAACTTAATTATAATGCTGTTGCAGCCTTTCCAAACTCTTCCATCGTCAGAGTGTGGATCTGTGCAGGGGAAACTCCCATGCAGAAAGAGGAAACTTGCTTACCTAGCCAGTATCTGCAAATCACAATGTGGTGGAATGAGGAAGCCCACTGCCAAGCTTTAAGAAATCAGCATGTCCATACCCTCTCCTCATACAAATCGGGGCTGATTGACTTAGGTGGCCAGGAGCTTGGCGAGGAGAGGATAAACAGGTACTTTACAAAAAATCAAACAATCTGGAATGCAGGTCATGGGAAAAGATAGCTCAGCCAGGATAAGTATATTAAAGCTTGTAATCATGGCTGCAGCCATAATTGGACTCAAAAGGTTACAAAATGATTTAGGTGTGGATAAATGGGATACAAAAAAAAGTTCAGAGACAACAACAACAAAAACCAAACTCCTCGCAAATCCAGAGCCTTATATAAGTTAAATAACCCTCTAGTTGTAGGATGGACAGTGCTAGACACTTCTAAAAATCCTATTACATTCATAAAATAATTCAGGAAAGATGCCTCCCTTTTCTCCTATTCTCTTTGCAGGGCCTGAAGAATAAAATATATCTAAAAGATATTCAGAAGATCAATTTGAAGGCCAATATGCCTAGCTAACAAGGTTATCTAAACATATTCTATTCATGGCCATCTAGGTCTTATCATCTGTGAGAAATATGTGTTGTTAGCAATAGCTTTGTGTTTTGTCGTTTAGTTTGCAGTTTGTCTAAAACTGACCAGCTGGTTCTAATATATTGGGCAAAATAATGTCACTTGCCATTGGAATTCCAAAAGAATTTACGTTCGATTTTCATTTTTGAACCTTAGGTTACATTAAAAACTATGTGCACAACTGTGTATGTGTTTGAAGATGTTCAAAATAATCTGATATTTTAATACGTGAAAACTGTCATCTAGGTGCAAAAAAGTAATCTTCACTATCAAACTAAAGTGCTCCTGTTTTGTATGGTAATGTTTTTGGTGCTGATATTTCCTAAAATAATTGACCTTTTGACTACAATTGTAACTGTTATCTATTAAGGAAGGACCAATCAGGAAATTAGGAAATGTAAAGAAAGAGAAGAGTTAGTAAAGAAAGCCTTGGAAACTGAAATTGAGGAAACAAAAAACAGTTTCCTTTGGATCAGAAAGCAGTTTAAAAGTAAGAATTGTCTTCCTTCTTACTTTTAGTTTGATAACATGAAGGAGAAAATGAGATTGACTTCTTACTTGTAGACTTCAGCCCCAACCCACAGGCTCTGGCAGAAAGTGCAGCTGTGAGCATCAGGCTTGATCCCTTTCCAGGAGTCTGTTCTCAGCTAACCCTCTCCTGGCATCAGACACAGCAGTGAAGTTGTGGTTCACGCCAAGAACAAGGCACAGCATTGCCAAGTAGCTCAGAAGGACAGGTAGACATTTCTCGAACATCAGGAACATGTTGACTCTTCTCTGTGATAAACAGATATTTGTAAAGATAAAATGAGTGGACAGGAATGCTGATGTCTGTTATGTCCTAAGGATTAGACAAGCCCCCTTTGGGGCTCGGTGAGTGTTCTTGAGGGTAGAAGATTTGGAGGGATAGTGGGCTGTGGAGTATGGAGCCTAGAAATGGCTCTTCTCTTCCTGGTAGGTCTGAAGGAATGAATGCAGTTGTCCCTTTGAACTGCCACATGAAGAAGGCCATGGAAAAACAAAGCATTCCAAAAGAGCAGCTCTGGGCCAAGATGGCATTTCAAATCCAGAACCTATGAAAAGCAAGAAGTACAAAAGCGAACCCAGCCCAGCGTCAGTGGCTCAGGCCTGTAATCTGAGCTACTCAGGAGGTTGAGATCTGAGTATCGTGGTTCAAAGTCAGCCAGAGAAGGAAAGTCTGTGAGACTCTTATCTCTAATAAACCACCAGAAAACCGGAAACGGTGCTGTGGTTTAAGTGGTAGAGCCCTGGCCTTGAGCTGAAGAGCTGAGGGACAGCACCCAGGTCCAAAGTTCAAGTCCCATGACTGACCAAAAAAAGAGGGGTGGAGAGAATACAGACAAACCCCCTGGTGAAGCTGAGAAAAGCCTGAAATTGCACCAAGGTTGCATTCACTTTTTCCTTGTATGACCAAAGCAAGGCTGAGAGCTAGCTTGGGATACTTCCCTTTTCCCTCTTGAACAGGGAGAGATGGGAAGGAAAGTATAGTTGGACAGTAGAGTGAAAAGAAATTGCCTCTAATTGACTTGGGAGGCCTTTCAGACATGCCCTTCCCAAGGGTCAGGACCAGGTTCCACAGTGTCTATGGCCAGGGTGGGCTCATGGAACAAGAGTGGATAGAGGTGGGTTCTGGAGAAACAGGGCCCAGAGTATTGATTAGCATGTCTGTTTGATGGGTGTAAAAAAAATTATTTTGTGCATGGAAGATACACAAAGTACCTGCATGCATCTAGGAGATGTCAGGTTCCAGTATATTCCCATCACAGCAAAACCCACCTCAATAACCTTTCTGAGCCTGCAAAGAAGTCAGAGCACCTAGCACGGTGCACATAAGAAGCTAAAATACTGCCACATTTCTCTGTCTCAGACCTGCTCTTTTGTTCTGGCCAATCCTAAGGCCTCCTCTATTGAGAGCTCCTCTCCCTTCCCTAAACTCCTACACCATATAATGTAGTATGTTTATACTTGGTGCCCATAGGTTGTTACTGTGCTTTGTTCCATTTCTCTTAGAAATCTGTGAATTCCCCAGGGTGACAGCCAAACATTCTCCATTCCCCCACACTGAAGGAGTATTGGTCATCAGTGGACACAGAGGAGGCTTAGTCAACACTTAATCCCCCCAAGGGGGGGGCAGGTGGGAGGAGGAGCATGTTGGCACACAGGGACTGTATGAAAGAAACAGACTCCTGGTCGGGAAACACTCTTAGGCCATGGCCAGCTGCCCTCTGGCTCTTGCAGCCACACTGTGGTCAGTACAGAGTTATATCAGAGCAAAGCAAGGGTGGTATCAGTGCACATGAGGTAACTGTAAGATGGGGGAGAGGCAGTAGGACACAGCAAAGTAGGTTCAGGTAAGCAGCTAAGGAGGAAAAAATCAAAAAGAAAGAATGGCAGACAGAGCAGGAATGGGTTAGATCTGTTTCTTGTACCTGAGGGAGAGAAGAAGGCACTGGTCAGGACTCTGGGGGACAGCTAGCAGCTCCTCTGGGTACTCTTAGCCAATGGGACTAGCTCTATCACAAAGGCAGACATGGGACACATCACTCTCATCTCCCACATTGGCCTAGAAGCAGAGTCAGAGCAAGGACTTCCTTTCTGTTCATTAATTTGTCATTGGAGGCTCAGGGCCGGTGTCAGCCTATTCTTCTCTGTGTCTGCCTTTCTATGTAAACTCAGGTATGGGGCTGAGTCTCAGTCTGGAGAAGGTTACCTGTAGAACTCCACAGTGGGGGTGAGGGTAGGGGTGGGGTGAGGGAGAGACAGAGAGACAGACATCAATCTAGAGAGAGCTATCCTTACGGAGTCAAGCCACTACAGAAAGTTCCAGCCCTGCTAGAGCCCTGAGACTTTGGCTCCATGTCTCAGTTTCCCTGGCTATCACACACCCTGCCTATCACACTCTGTCTTGTGACATGAAGAGTCACAGTCACTCTAGTCACACTCACTCTCTGATCTGCAGAACTTCCACCATATCCTCAAGATAGAGTCATAGCCACAGTTGAGACCTCTCCTCTAGACACATACCTGTGCCTGTACACAGGCCTGAGTTCTTTCTCACTCTGCATGTCTCTCTTTCTCTCTGTGTGTCTCTGTCTTGCCCTTTTTCTTTCCCTCTGTGTTGGTTACAGGATACACAGGAGGGAAGGGTTGGAGTGAAAGGGAGGTCAGGCACATTCTGTGCATCGTATGGACAGATACATGTGGGAAACCTAGAGAACTGGCCTGGACAACTGCATTGGCCTCTTCTCCAGCAAGGGCCCCACAGTGAAGATGGCCAGCGCTGTCTCTCAGGGAGGAACACCATGGAACCGAGGCACCTTGGTGGGTGGACCATGGCTTTCTCATTCTTCCTCTGTAACTGTGTCAGGGAGAGTACAAGAAGCTCTTCAGAATGAAGCCTAGAAGAAAAGTGTGGGAGAGAGATCACAGTGGTGCTATTAATGCACAGAGCCAGAGGCAATGTTGGGTAGAGGTGACACTAAGTTCTCTATAGCCAACTCTGTGCCAGAGATGACAGAATTTTCTCAGGGGCAAGAACAGACACTGGATAGGTGTTTGTAACATCTTTAAGCCCTGGCTTAATTCCTGCCTGCCTCCACCTTCTCTTATCTCCCTTCTACCACTCTCACCTTTGGTTAGGGATGATTGGACCAGCCAGCTCTGCTTATCATGCCCTTGTGGGCAGTAGGAAAAACGTGTGTGTTATATATAAGGCATTGGTTACTCCTCACCTGCTGTGGTCTTCAAATGCCCAGCTCAGAGAGATACATACACAAAGATCTGGCCTACAGTGCAGAGTGAAGGGCTCTGAGTGCAGCACCTAGTAGTGGCACTCCAGCAGGCTCTGGAGAAGACGACGTCTTCTGTCCTGGCAGTACCAGACTCCACTCTGCAGCCTCAGTTCTGGGAAAGTCTTCCCATATCTTTGCTGCAAGAGAAGGTAAGCTTCCAAGAAATGGCTCTGCAGCTATGTTTGCAGCTCAGTTTGTGCTTGTACCAAAGTAGCTGATGGATAAGAGAGTTGAGAACATTTTGGAGGACTTGGTCATCTCTTTAGTGTTGTATTGTTTTCCAGGATTTGGGAATCAGAACTCTAATTTGGGAATGTATGCGTGCATATTAGTTTATGATTGACATAAATTAGGAGTAGGAGGATGCTTCATTTTAACAAGTCCATGTATGCATATGGTCCTTTTTTCTCTTTCTTTCTTTTTCTAAGCTGGTCTTGAACTCAGGGCCTGAGTGCTGTCCCTGTGATTTTATGCTCAAGGATAGCACTCTACCACTTGAGCCACAGCTCTACTTCCAACTTTTTGGTGGTTAATTAGAGACGAGTCTCACAGACTTTCCTATACAGGCTGGCTTCAAAGTGGAATCCTCACATCTCAGTCTCCTGAGCAATAAGGATCACAAGTGTGAGCCAGAAGTAACTGGCTCAACTTCCAAATATTCTAATTGCATGGGGCTGGGAAGGTGGCTCAGTGGTAGAGTGCTTGCCTTGCATGCCTGAGGCCCTAGGTTCAATTCCTCAGCACCACATAAGCAAAAAGAAAAAAGCCAGAAGTGGTGCTTTGGTTCAAGTGGTAGAGTGCTAGCCTTGAGCTGAAGACCTGAGGGACAGCGCCCAGGCCCAGAGTTCAGAGTTCAGGCCCCACTACCGGACCCAAAAAAGAAAACAAAACAAAACCAAATATTATAACTGCAGCAAATATGTTATAGATCTAATTGACTTTGATTGTTCACTGGATGGGGGTATCTTCCATTCCTTAAAACAGAAATGAAAGCTCCATTTGAGCAACTGTGTAATCCTAAGTTTTATAAGGTAGGAATAAAAAAGTTTTTTTTAATAACCAGATTGAATATTGCCACAATAAACATAACCATACAGGTAGCTTGTTTGTTCACTGATTTCATTCCTTTTGGATATATACGCAGATTTGAGATAGCTAGATCCTATGGTAATTCTTTTGTTAGTTTTTCAAGAAACATTCATACCACTTCATACATTCTAACACACATTCCTATCAACATCATGAAAGAGTTCATTGTTCTCTGTATCCTCCCCAGTATTTATTTATTTATGGTTGATATTTTTGTTGATAATTTATTTTTTTAACATAGCTAATATTACTGGGATCAAATGGAATCTCAATGTAATTTTGATTTGCATCTCCCTAATAGCTAAAGATATTGAGAAAATTTTCATATATCTATTGGCCATTTGTACTTTTGAAAAAGTGTTAGATCATGTGACCATTTTTACTGGATTATTTATTCTTTTGTTAAGGTTTTTGAGCTTCTTATACATCCTAGCTATTAATATTCTGACAGATTAATAAATGGAAAATGTTTCTCATTCTGTAGGATATATTGTTACTTTGTTGACTCTTCTGCTGTATAAAAGCTTTTAAACTTGAAGCAAACTCATTTGTCAATTTGTTCTTTTGTTTCTGAGTTTGGAATACCATTCAGGAAGCTTTACCAGGACCAATATTTTGGAGAATTTCTTTATATTTACTTCTAATGAACCAGGATCAAGCCTATTTCTCTCTTTCTATAAAAATCAACACAAGCCAAGCACTGGTGATCCACACCTGAAATCCTCTCTACTCAGGAGACTGAGATCTGAGGATCACAGCTCAAAACCATCCTAGCCAGGAAAAGTCTGTAAACTTTTGGGGGGTGGGGAAATCCAGTCGTGGGGCCTGAACTCTGGGCCTGGGCGCTGTCCCATCTCTTCAGCTCAAGGCTAGCGCTCTACCACTTGAGCCACAGCGTCACTTCCGGCTTTTTTCTTGTTGCTTATGTGGTGCTGAGGAATCAAACCCAGGGCCTCATGCATGCAAGGCAAGTGTTCTACCACTGAGCCACCTTCTCAGCCCCTGAAAGACTCTTATCTCCCATTAACCTCCAGAAAACCGGAAGTGGCTCTAAGGCTCAAAGTGATAGCCGACTACCTTTGAGTGAAAAAGCTCAGTGTAAGATCCCAGGCCCTGAGTCCAAGCCCCGTGACAGAGAAAACAAAACAAAACAAAAAAGAGTGGGAGATAAGAATCTATCTTCAGTGTTACGCATGAGGATATTCAGCTTTCTCAAAATGGTTTATTGGAGAAGTTTTCTTTTCTCAAACCTATGCTTTGGCTGAAGATGTGTGAGCTTATTTTCAGGTCTTCTATTCTATTCCATTCATCTAATGTTAACATGGCTCTGTAGCATATTTTAATTAGCTTTTTCTCCCTCCCCCTTCCCTTCCCTGTATCTGAACAACTATTTGAAAATGATGGTTCATAGGGCTTGAAAGTCTAGGTCAGATAGAGCTGGTGCTCAGCATGGGCAGGTCCGGGGTTCAATCCCAGCACTGGAAAAAAAAAAAAAGTCTCCTGAATTAAGCACAACAGGAGATGCCTGTAGATTAGCAGAAGCTTCTGAAAAGATATTTTTTTCTTATTGGGGATTGAATTGAGGGCTTCACATTCACTAGGACTCTAAAAAGTATTCCAACCAAATTTTCTATTTTTCTTTTTGAATCTTGGTCCGGGGGCTTGAACTCAGGTTGTTGGCACTATCCCTGTGCTTGCTTTGCTCAAAGCTGGTGCTCTACATTGAGCCAAAGTTTGACTTC